AAAATGTTTATAACTAAATATTATTATTAGGTTTTCGCAGTAATTGACTCTTTTGTGTTTTATGGGCCGCATAACTATTGCACATAATTATCACTTTAATATAAAAAGTGCATCGAGTAGGACGTTCGATGACTAATAGTCGTGATAAAAAGGCTTAGAAGACTGAGGATTAGTCATCTGAAGATTTGGTCCTAACTGTCGCCTCTCGAGGAATCTTAACGTCATCTGTGGTACTTTTGCGTGAAAGATCACGTAAAAGTAATTTTAAGATACAACCAATAGCCATAAAACATAATAATCTACTTACACAGTTATTTACGTAACACGGTAAATATTTTGTAACAATACTAAAAAATCATTAGAACAAGGTAATCTATAGAAAAAAAATAGAAATATATATCTTCTGTTAGCAATAACTGTCTAAACTCGCTGTTTTAAGCGGATGAAGTTGTGGGCAGATACTAGCTTATATTATTTGTCTACCAAAGTATGTATAAGCTTTCAATTCCAGCAAATAATATCAGATTGCAACTCCCGCTCGAGAGAAAATTCATTAAAAGTTAAGTATTACAATGTACTATTCTCAATATTAACTATCTAATAAACTTGGACGTTGTTGATTTCTTATTGGTTTCTCACGTATTATTTATTCACGTTTCACGTATTAGTTATTCTCTAGTAGCATTTTAATAAATTTAAAATAGTAAATATGAGTCCAAAGTATTTTTAAACAGGAGGTATATAAATATATATTGGCATTATCATCATGTTTTAATTCCATAGGACTATTAGACGGCTTGTAGATAATATGAAATGTGTTTCTTAAGTCTAATTAAATCCCATATCAGCCTTTTTGCCTCGTACACATGTAAAATGTTTGAAGACAGGTAATTTCAGTAATACTAACACCAACCTTACGATTTAGAATGAAGAGACTATTTGCTGGTCAATGTCGTTATAATAGTGACCATTCGACTTACTATGTAAATATTGAATGGCATACCCATTAATCATCTAAAAACGTATATAATATTAAATCAAACTACGTATAATATTTATTGAAAAAAAAATTCAATGATTTAAGCAAAAATATATTATGGTTGATGAGTTTCTAAAGCGACTTCAGTTCATTATTCCGAGAACTGGAGTCTCTCTTATTTTTAGGTCTATTAATAGAACATCACATAAACTGGTAACATTACAAGATTACACGATCAATAACATTTTTGACGGTGACAACACTGTTGTCGGTCGGTATGACGAGAATATCATCTAAGACATCCACCGATGACGACGTCAAATTTCTAAAATTGTCAATGTCAAACTTTCAAAATTGCCATTCGCAAAAAAATACAAATATCTTGCCATTTCAAATTTTATTTGTGACAATGTCATTTTCTTTTCACTTGTCATTCTTGTCAACTTCGCTCATTTTACTTCTCCAAATTTATAGTTGTCATTGTCAAGATGTACGAGATGGGTTTTGCTGCTGGTCCTGCAGTATTGTAACTTGACTGTCTATTACTGGCGTTTTCAGAAGTCATGGCATCTTTTAATGTATTTAGAAAATCATTTGTAATGGCAATTATTATAAGTGCAATAGTTTTGGTATTCTTCTGGGCGAACATGGAACTAGCCAGGTAATATTTTGTTTTTCTTTTTAATTTTGTTGTCATTACTTGCATAATTCACCTAAAACATAAAATTACACACAAGCACAAGCAATTCAACTAAAATAAATAAATTACTTATAAGACACCTTCTGTAAACAAAGAACCTAATATCCCAGAAAGGTTCTAGGTATTTTAAAAACACATAACTAATTTTTATTTTTATTAATTATTCTGATTTCTTAATATTCTGACCATTTACTGTTTTGCTATACCTTTACATAATACCTATTTTCATTAACCACTGAATGAAGCCTTGCATTTGCGTATTTCCTATTTCTAGAAAAAAAGTAGTATGTTCCTATTTCCTAGTTAGACCTGTAGTTATAGGTCATATTTAAATCGCCAAAATCATATAAAACTTTCTGGCATCTTCTTGTAAATGTATATTTATTGCTCATAAAAAGCTGGAGGGTTTGCTTGTTTGAGCATGCTGTAGGTACTCAGGAAGTATTGGTTTCAATTGAAAAAATATAATGTATTGGATAGACCATTTAATGAGGAATGCTGTAAGCTATAAAAGTCACCTTCAATGAGCACCCACACCTAGCAGCGCAGTTTAACTTGCTGCTCCTATTTGTTGAGTGCAATTTTTATAGTTAATAGACAATTTAATCTTGATTCAAAAGTTTTGACTGTAAATACCCAATGTACAAAATTTGTCTATTAGCTGGGATTCTAACATTTATATTTAGTGACCCTATGAATTATAATATTTTTTTTTAATTATGATTTATTAACATCTTACTAACTTTATTTGCTCTACTCTACTTTGTGCTACTCTGCTGTACTGTGCTCCATCAAATGTACATATGTATTCTATCTGCACTTGGCGACTGCTAAAGATGGTACCAAATTCTCTATCAGCCGTTTTATTCCTTTTTCTGACAGCAGCTGTACACAGACATTTATTAAAATAGCAAATATTATATTTTCACGAAATTACGAGTTTGGGCTCTAAAGTCAAAGTCAAAATCATTTATTTCAATTAGACCCATACAGGCACTTTTGAATGTCAACACAACTTTAAAGATACAAAGTACAAAGATACAGTTGAATCTTTAGAAGCACACAATACATGTTCATTCATAACCCCAGCTAGTTCAAACAGCTTCAGATGCAGTGGCAAAATACATTGTTGTTATTATTTATCAAAACAACATTTTATTATTATTTATACATCATCATGCTAAGACAACAAAATACCATTGAGTAGTCATTATTGAAGCACCTTTCTCTGGCCCATCAGTGTAATACATTGATTTTATTTAAGTATAGTTGATCTAAATAATCATTATTTGACTTTGACCAGGTTAATCATTAATTTAATCAGAATGGAGGACAGAAGAATAATGAATGATTCTGCTCCAGTAATTTTACACACAACTAGTTCTACCTGTGGTTATAATAAAAAACAATTATAGTTTTGGTCAATTTCAGAATTGTGTAATAATAATAATGATTTGACAAAATCAAAATATGTATGTTGGAACTAACTCTCAACTAATATTGTAAACCAGCCTCATTTCGAAGTAGTTATTCATTTATAAGAAGAAGAATAGGAAATACCATATGCACTGTATAGCATTTACTGAAACTATTGTTGGGTGTTGCCATTGTTCATAGAACCTTGTCCATAATACCCAATGTTGTGTTGTTATAAGGAAAATAAAGTGATATTATATAAAAATACCTCTTCTATTGAATAGAGGCTTTATTGAACAGGATATATTAATAAAATTACGAAAATAAGGCTAATAAACATGTCTATTTGATTTAAATAATGATATTATCTGCATTTTTGTATTTATGATATTTTTTAGTAAATTACAAGCTTTAGGTAATTAAACCTTAAATATAGACTAACACTGTGGTGCATCCATGTAGCATTGACTAAGTCATATTTTTCCAATCAATGTGATTGGCTCTAAGTTTCTTTTCTGGACTGTCAAAACATTAGCACATTGTTTTCTGGGTAGCAGACCTTATCTCTCATTAGTGTTACTAATGTAATTTTTTGGCGATAGTCTTCATAGCCTGGAGTGAGCTTGTATGATTCTGACTCTTAGCAAAACATATGTTATATTCTTGCACTACCTTACATTTTCGACAGGGTGGTGGTCTCTCTAGGGCGGTCTCGCTGGAATGCCTGGGGCCAACAACAAATACATAGCTCCAATAAAATGATGCAGCAAAAACAAGCACCTGCTTTAAAAGTGTGAGACCCAGTAATGTACATATTTTGAAACTAGCATCAGACATCATTTATATCATCATGTTCATATATTTGCGTAATTTAATCAGTACTATGAAAAATAACACACAAATAAAGTAACACAACATTACAGCTTATGTCATTACGTCATACTTTCACCACATCGAAAATACACCATCATATCACATCGCGTGCCTACAAGTGCTCACAGCTGAGCAAAGGCTTCTTCTCACACGAAGAAGATTTGAGCATTAATCACCAAGCTTGCTCAAGGCGGATTGGCGATTTCAAAGTTATGATTAGAAATAATAGTCCTACGTTTTCTCACATTGTCTTCCTGAACACAAAATGTGAATTTTGTGTAATGAAGATAATTTCATAATATAAAATAAGGGTTTTCCCTTATTTATGTTAAGATTGGAAACTAATTTATCGCCATAAAAAATCAGCTGTTGTAAAATACCACTGGCTGCTTTTTAACACCTGCTCCAGCTTCGCTTAGTTGCTATTTTTTGGTGCTTCCAGAATGTTTTTTGTTTTTGTCTTAACGAAAAGTACTCTACAAAATAAATTGTGCGATTCGGTACAACTGCAGTTATTCGTCATAAATATTATATTTTGGTAGTCCATTTTTCATACAAGGATTTAGATACAAGGTTCAAAGTCAAAGTCAAATTCAAAATCATTTATTCCAACTAAACCATATACCTAGGTACTTTTGAAACGTCACTATAGAATAGTAAGTTAGTCGTCAGTGAAGCTAGGTGCTCATTTCAAATTGTAGATTCGAATGGAGAAGAACGAGCAAGAAACTCCATCGTTACTCTTCTTAGAAAATAATATTTGTTTTACAATTGCACTAATATAACATTTAGTATACTTTATTAATTATATTGTAGTTCACTTGGTGAGTACATTAGATTTGGTATTTAGTAGAAATTAAAATATCCTTTATAAGTAAAATATTTGTTTTACATGGCATTATCTCCCCTTCGCGAGCCTTTTAAGTTATTTGGAAACCTGAGGACAGCTAGATTCTTACAGCACCTGGATGGAACCCTAGCTCTGAAAAAAGAGACCTGAATAATATTGTACGTCTTTTCAACAGCTCGTCAATGATGAAAGAAATCCCACTGAACGTGAAGAACAAGATATGTGGCGTCAACTTGAAGGACCAGAGGAGTTACGTGAACAAGACGTCGGATTTGAATATGATATATTTTGTTACACCCACGTACCCTCGACCGGAGCAGGCACCAGAACTGACTAGGCTGGCTCACACACTGATGCATGTCCCGCGATTACATTGGATCGTAGCTGATGATCAACCTCTTTGCTCCGATGTCGTTTATGACATACTAAGGTTAGTATAGAACATTCTATTCTTCTATTCTTCATGGTGCAAAGTACTGCTACTGCTTTGTCATTTCCAACGAAAATTAAATATTATAAAATGCGAAAGTTTGATAAGAAAGATTTAATAAAATCTGCCATTATCTGAGCGAAATTTGGTTTAGAGAAAAGTTAGGTAAAATGTGACATATAAATAAACATATAATATGAGGTTCGGCATATCTTATCTCAGGGTCGCAATTGGAGCCGCTGGCAGAAGTTGGTCTCTAAATAAATTCGAAATTGTGTCAGGAAATAGGGGGATGAATAATAATATAGTTCATCCTTTTTCCTTAATGTTATAATAAATCCCAATCGCTTCATTACCTATCTAAAAATTAAAGTGCTATACCGAATATATCGTAGATATTCACTTTATTACATATCTGATTCTGGATTAATGTGTATCTCTTTTGACTTTATTTTTCTCACACATAAGTAAAAACAATTATACAAAAATGCCGATGATCATGTAATGCATCGAAGTAAGAAGTTAGAGAAGTCGGAACAGCTTCTGCCTTCTCCGACGTCCGATTCGTTTGCTATTGAAGTCTTGATCTCTCTGTCAAAATCCACAGCCTCCTTACGTGACTGTTTAAATTTGCAGTCGACATTAGCGTCTTACAATTCTGCACTACCTATAATTTTTAGACAACAGTGGCTAGCGACGGGTCGTGTCTTATCTGTGAGGATACGACGTGTTTTATTCCACAATACCCATACAGCATATGTTACGCAGTGTGCTCTACACAATAGACGCAATGATGGCATCAAGCGTCTGGCTAGATGTCTGTGCGACGGAAATTTCCCGAATCACCCATACCCCAAAAGCGCCTCTGTCACACGGAACGACACAGAGTTATCTCTTTTCTCTAGCCAGCCATTAAGTAGCTACTGACCGGATGTTATATGTACCTATACTAGATATTTTTGTCAGGGGAAAATCATCAAATGGCGTCTCCCGCCCAGGGTAAGGCAAGAGAGTGTCCGACTCTTACTGACTAAAACCCCCCCGTTTCTTCTCCTGCTCTGGACAGAGGCCGCGGCGGTGACTTATTGCGCTTAACCCGTAACCCCGGCTATATGTACATATAATACTAGCTACCGCAAGCGGCTTTGTCGACATTTTATGTTGATAAAAAGCAGCCTATGAGTAAATCCAGGGCAACACCTATCTACAAAGGTACCAAACTTTAACCAATCCGTCGACCCCTTTTGCATGTAAAAATAACAAACATTATGTCACAAACTTTCACATTTCTATTCTAATAATAAAGGATGATAGGCCAGCATTACAAACTGTACCTGAAGTAAACTAATGATGTACCATTATGTTTGATTTGTCAAAGAATATCTACATTCCTATAGTGTGTAGGTATGTATAAGTACATACATTGTAGTAGGTAAACAGCTCATGATACAAATTGGAGTTAAAACCTTGACAATAATGAATTAATGAATCAACAAGGTTAAAGAAAAACGATTTACTATCATATTTTGTATTGTTGTTTGTAGTTACAGCAGTCATAATGTGGGTCGATTGACTATATCGCCAGATATTTATTTAGTCGTCCCTCTCATATTTCTCTGATGAAAGTAAAGAGAAAGAGACGGAACTCTGATTTAGTTTCGACAATTTTATTTCTAAGTAGTCAGATAGATAATGCCGGCTTCATCTGGTTGTTTTTTTTACACATTATACATAATGTTGACGTGTAAAAGTAATGTTAAAGGGCTTATTTAGAAAAAAAATATTGATTGTTTCATTGTAAAAAGTAAGATGCGACTTGCCGACCCTGGGGCGATATTATTAACCGATTCTCAATCCAAAATGGATTTATGCTAGATAACTCATTACTTCAACTATCTGTAAGTAGATTCCATCAAAAAAATAGGTAGATTGATTCCTAGATAGTTGATAATGATTGGTTTATAGTTTTGGCTGTGTACTGCTCTACTACCTACTAGATCACAGGCCAGATTTTTTTATTTTCGATCTAGAAATTTCGTTGTTTTATAGTATAATTTTCTTTAGTTGCGTTGGTACGTTGTGTGCTACATCTTGCTCGTCCGATCAATTTTTTTTGTCTAAAATACCTACTGGCTTTAGATAAACTAGGTAATCTGCGCATTTGCCAAGTTTATTGCAAAATGTTTATGTACTGTACATTTAATTACCTGCAATGCGGTTTGGCTCTCGACACATATTTTCAAGATATTACTTAAACTAGAAACCTGAGATTGGAAGTTTATTTCTCTATCTCCGACCCAGTATATACATACAAGGGATATCTGTTAATATAATGCTATGTTTATATTAACCCAGAGGATACCACTGCCTCACATAAAGCCGGCGTGAAACATCCACGGCGTTGTTTCAACGTGTGATTGAGGTTACCGATGGCCCAATCCTTCCTCTCCCCCAATCCCTAATGCCCAAAAGGTCTGCATCGCACTCGTAACTCCTTCGTTATTGCCAGTTTCCTTTGGCGGCGCTGATTGCTTACCATCAGGTAATCAGGCTGTTCGTTTTGTGTTCTATTACATAAAGAACATCTAACCTAAGCCAATCGTGTATTGAATCGAAAAATAAGAAAAATAATTAAGTATTTTATTTTACTAAAAATAGATACTTGAGGACAGAAAGATTTTATAAATAAATAAAGTGTAGTACTAAGTGTAATTGTTACGGCTGTAAATGTAGTTAATGATCACTGAATTTTTGCGAGGTAATAAAAGCTTAAGTATTTTAGTATTTTACTTGTAATTTATTATATTAGTATGTATGTATAAAAATACTTTCGGGGCACCAAACTTGGACAAGTTATGTTAGAACTGCGACCCAGACAAACGCTTAAAAAAAATCGTGATCAATAATTTTATTTAGAGTAATTTTCCTCAAAAACCTCCTAGCGTCTAAATTGTTTTAATTTGTTGGTAATTTACCATGGTTCACAACGATTTATTTTGGAGTCATTTTCCTTAATGGTGATAGCAACATATATTATAGGGATGAACCTCTTTGACTGCACTTGGTTGGTGCGGTGGCTGGGCAACTAGCTGTTGTGCACGGAACATCTCTTTGTGTGATTGACAAATTGTTGTCACGGGTCTGGGTGGCTTGTGTATGTGAAATTGTATGTTTGTAACCGCACCCACGACACTGGGGAAAATGGAAGAGGGAGGACGAATTTTTCTAAAAAAAAAATTTTATAATTTTACATTACAGTTTTATGGGTTTAATCTTTATGACCATTTACTATTTTACTACCGTGCCTTTAATTTAATATTTTAATATATCCGGTAGTTAGAGTAAACATAAGCCAATAATAATTAATTAAAAATGAGTGGATAGTGTGTTGACGACTCACGCAAATTGACGTCACAATGCGTAGTCCCATGTGGGTTTCATAAAACGAAATAATTATTGAATTTGACTGTTTGGATACGTGAGGTCGTATTGTACCTACATAATACATATATTTACTTATATGTACGTAAATGTACAAAATTAATAAGTTATTGATTGAAATAAAGGGACTAGTGGATATTTTTTGGTAATCCTTTTGATATTGCCATTTAAAAAACAATAAAGTAAACTTTCATTATTTATTAATTTTGTATATTTTTTATTTTTATTAATCATTATTATATTTTTACATTTTTTACAGAAAATATAATAATGATTTAATTTGTTATTAGCTAATCAAAAACAATATACTTAACCCATCCCATGAAATATTTGTACTTGAAATAGTTGATTATTATTTGTATTTAAAACTAACAAGTTATAATAGACTCCCTTACTGTGTCATGTAATCAGTCGTACTCACACAAGTATCTCCACCCGTAGCCAAATGAAACACAATAAAACCTTTGTTGACTGTTGCACACATTCAATTACAGACGATCGGGATTGCCTTACACACACATATCAAGCCCGAAACCATTCAAGTATCAAATTACTAATTTCCCTCGAGGAGTATCAAACCGACGAGCAGCGTTAGCCTGGCTCAAAGACAACGTTCACGAAGGAGTGCTCTACTTCGGAGATGATGACAACACGGTAGACCTGCAGCTCTTCGATGAGATCAGGAATACGAAGAAAGTATCAATGTTTCCTGTCGGTCTGATCGGAGATTATGGAGTCTCCAGCCCTGTCGTCACAGATGGAAAGGTAAATAATAAATTATTTATTTACTATTTTTTGCACGCGACGCAGTTTGCTTGGAATAGTGACTTCCTGCAGATTTTTGGTATATAACTATTCTATGTATGTCCTTTCTCATGTTCCAAACTATGTCTACATTAGTTTGGATTTTTGAGTATCATAATAATATGTATATCCTCTTGTTCTTTTAGCTGTCGTACTGTTTCTGTATGACCCTGAGGTAGAATGGAAGAAAAAACCCTTCAATATTTAGTCTATCGTTGTACGTTTGTGTGCAAACTGTTTAAAAGATTTATAAATAAAGGTCTGTCAAATATTTTAAATGCGCAAGTTTTTGAGAATGTATGGATATTTGCTCTTGAATCTTAACACGTTAATCGCCACGTAGGTCACCGGTGACCTACGGTAGCGGAGTATTTGCCTTCAGCGTTTTTCTGTCGGCAGTCAAAGGCTTAACAGGGATTAAGTGCTACATACGTACCTAGTTTTAATCTTGGCAACATAGGCAAAAGTAGAAAGAAACTATAAGTCTCACAAATGCAGAGCACGTTATCCATAATTGAGAATGTTAATGGTTCACACAATGTGTGACATTATGAAAGAAATTGTGTCTACGTACTTAAAATCAAATATCAAAGCGTGACACGAAAAAAATAATATTTTGTAAGCAAAAGGTTATTTTAAGCTAAATGTATGCAGTTATTTCATTTCCATAGAAGTATGCCCTAGTGTACAGGAATACAATTTAATGACTCCCATGTAATACAAAGTGAGTCTCTTGTTTTGCAGTTACGCAAATGAATTATTGTTTATCACTCGTAGTTCTACGAGTACATGTCGTATTGGCTCGTAAGCTGTTATGATCGATACTAAACCATGAAGTTACCTCGTAATAAATAATTATTATAATTATTACTTTGAAACCACCAGCATTCTACCTTGACTGATTGATAGCGACTGATGCTGATGACCTACCTTCTCTGAGTGAGAAGAGCTCTTTGCCTAGTTGCAGTCGGAATTTTATGCAAGCCCACAGTAATGATAAGGTGGACCCAACGACGTATGGTATCTTTAAATTACCAATTAGTTTACTTGCTTAACTTGAACAATTGAGAAGATATAAAAAAAAACATTGTAAACGAAATGCGACCCGAATAGTCTTGTTATGGTTTTTACGAAATTTAAGCGTGAATTTACGATTAAACTCATAATACTATTTGTAACCGTAAGAAGAAAAGATGAAGTACCTATGATGAATATATGTAATTATTAAGAAAAAATATTGGAATTTCCAGGTGGTAGCATTCTTCGACTCGTGGGTTGGCTCTAGAACATTCCCCGTGGACATGGCGGGGTTCGCCATCAACATAAAGTTCCTGAAGGACACCGCTTACATGCCGTATAAGACCGGACTAGAAGAAGACAGGTTCCTAGTAAGCTTAGGTTTAAAGTTCGACGAAATTGAACCTCTCGCTGACAATTGCTCAAAAATACTAGTTTGGCATACAAAAACTATGAAAAAGAAGAAGCCTAGCCTTAAGATTGATGTAAAAATGTTTGAAAATTCCCAAAAGTATCGAGATTTTGCAGGTTTACTTAAAGAAACTTCGAGATTAGGGATGGCAGACGTGAGTTCTGCGAATGGTTCGAAAGCTTACATTTTCCTACCGAAGCAACATAAGCTGACAGAAACGTCAATGGTAGCACCGAATAGTTCCAAGTAATCACCTAAATTCGTCCGACTACTGCTAGAACTCGGTAATGGTCAAAACTCGCCACTACATGTTAAATCTTCTTTAATACAGGCGGTATGTACGACTAGTTCCAAAATGCCGAAAGTTACTTATTTATAGCCGTTCAAATTTGTGATTTATTGCCATAACATAAGATATTATAAACATGTCGCTAAAATTTTCTTACAGAAATTGCATCAAACAACTTTTACGATAAAATACATGTTACAGTTGTTAGGGAAACTGTTGTTTAGAAGAATGCCCGACTGATATTTCAATAAGTTGGTTCAAATAGTTACGTAAGTTTCTTTTCAACCGACTTCCAAAATTTCTTTTCAATCGACTTCCAAAAAGAAGGGAGGTTCTTAATGCGACCGGATATTTTTTTTTAAATTAGGATTTCTTGCACTACTACTTAAACGCACCTAGTAACTGTCCTTTTTCAGAGATTAATGAAGACAAATAGTGATATCCTGTTAATGTTGTAAAGTTTCCCATCTCGCTATTTGCATCTCATTATGGATTAAAATGAATGAAGCCATAGTGCCGAATATTTGTGCCTCCAAAATTAAATACTAGATGTCACTGTTGCGACTATTCTGGTTAGTGTGTATTTTATCGAATATAATTTAAATGTGATACATTAATATTAAAACATTCCGTTAGTACGTAGACTGAAAAAAAATATATTAAATTTTATATTAGCGTCACAGAATGTTGGAAATTTCTTCTTTTTTACATTAAATTGTAATAACTTTTGAAAGACTGAATCGATTTAAACGACGATATAAGACTAAATTGTTACTCGTTACGCACAATATTGGTGTATGTAAGTCTAAAGCATTGAACACGGCGCTTATAAAGCAATGCGCGCACACAGACGTAGCACGGACATTATGATAACATACTGGGGTTCCGTACCTTTAGTTATAAAAAGGCCAACAAGATATTGTAATAATACATTTATTCGACACATTTTTGGGTAAATTATGATCACAATACTAAATAAGTACCAAAAAATACATTTCAACGTCAAACTGATTAATGTCAATAAATTTATTTCATATTAATATCATATTCATTGGTCTATAATAAAAAAAAAACAAATATTTTAACTTAAGAAAGATATGAATTTAAAAAAAATATCTTTCTTTTGTCCGTCCAGACAAAAATTGAACAAATGTCTCTGCCTTACATGGCGTCAAAAGAATATATTTATTTTCAAAAATCGCTTTTTAATTTAGTATCATAGCTTCTTCTAACTGTACTATGTACTATGTATTAATTACAAAAGTAATACATCTTTCAGATTTTTGCCTCTTCAAGGTGCGGAACCCATATGTTATTAGGCTATAAGGCAAATGAGAACGTTGAGATAGAGAACTGTTAAATATTTTAGTAAAGCGGTAATTCGAATCAACGCTAGTGCTTAAACACCGCGATCTAGATAAACGAATTACCATATTATTTATAAACAACAAATATATGTGCTAAGTAGGTAGTACGTTTTGACTGTTAAATTGATTTTTAAATTAGGAAGACAAAGTTCCGATAAAAGTTTTAGTAAGGGTTTAATATAGGCGCTCGCGAGATGGCGTTGTGAATCAAGGTCGCAATATAGTCTCATGTTTTAGGTGGTCAACTAAAGATAAACAGTCTTGGTATGTCTTTTTATTAAATACACACAAAGATTATTTAAATTTAGCTTATTAGCTAACATCGATATAGCTAATAAACTAAAACACATTTTTTAAACAAGTTTTCGATAACGTTTAGATAAAAGTACATGCCAAGATTGTTTTGCGTTTAGTTAATTACCTTAAGAGACGTGACATATAACTTGACATAAAAAATATGATGGACCTTGAACGACACTAGCGCCTCTAGTGGCCTGAAGACATTTATAATCTTTAAAAATATCCTCTTTATTTTTGATGAAGCCAGTGAGCATTCTTCCAACTATACTATAGTAGATATTAGTTTAAAAAAAGCTGTAACATGTATTTATTGCACGCATTAGAATTATCGCAAACACTTTCAAGTCCTGGTCTATATTTCACGCAGTTTAACAAAAGAATTCAAGAGAATATAATCTCATAATTTATTTGGCTGTTACTTGAGATCTGTAGATAACGAATAAAGATCTGTGAACTAATTTAGAACTGTCTAGGTGTATAAGTAATTTAGCCTAAACGTTAAATAGGCTCACCGGTTCTGGTGGAATCCATTAGTGATATGAAGGATGGAAATGGGATGGCTAGCTTAAACCATATTAAATTCTTTTGCACAAAAAATGGTTTAGATTTTTTTCTCTACTTCAATCACGAAGAAAAGTAATAGGTTTCTTAAGTCCCAAATTTAAAATTTGATATTAATTAAAGAAAATTAATGAATATTGTGGATTATTATAAAATTGCTTTACTAATGGCACGAATTGCTGAAATGATTTTTAACTGATTACGATATTTTAAAAGTTATTGGATTTTTTCTGCAAAATTTATAATTTCATCTTTTTTTACATTAAATACTACTTTTGGGCACAGGAGTCCAAGGGGGAAGCGATGGCAGTCAGTTTGGACGTAACGAAGGCCTTCGATCGGGATTGGCATAAAAGGCTTCTTACGAAGCTACCTTCCTATGGGCTGCCCGAGAAACTGTGTAAATGGGTATCCAGCTTCCTTGCAAACAGAAGCATAAAGGTCGCGGTCGACGGTGAATGCTCTGATTTCTTGCCTGTAAACGCTGGCGTGCCTCAAGGCTGCGTATTATCGCCCACTCTGTTCCTCCTCCATATCAATGATATGTTGCAAATAAGTGGCATTCATTGTTATGCGGATGACAGCACGGGTGATGCCTTTTACGCCGGCCATACTAACATTTCTCGGGAAAACGTCACCGAGAGTCAAAACGGGTCTGAAATCGAGACTTCTTTCGAGAGAATCTCAGATTGGGGTAGACTTAACTTAGTCCAATTTTACCCCACAAAGACACAGGTCTATTGTTCACAGGTAAAGAACTGTAGTTCGTATATCCTCAATTTCAGAGTACCCCCCTCACAACCTCGGCCGGTGTTCAGATACTTGGCGTCGACATTTCGAGCGAAGTTAAGTTTCGCGGTCATCTAGAGGGTCAGGACAAGTTAGCTTCGAAGAAGCTTGGTGTGCTCAATAGATCGAGGCAGTATTTCACCCCGGGGCATCGCCTGCTACTTTACAAGGCGCAAGTTCGGCCCCATATGGAAAACTGTTATCATCTTTGGGCGGGGGCACCCCAGTACCAGATTTCTCTCTCTGAACCGCATTCAACGACGAGCTGTCCGAATTGTTGACTGCCCTGTTGTCTCGGACCGGCTGGACTCTTGCACTGGCACCTCGCTATGGCTTCTCTATCGCATCTATAACGGGGAGTGTTCTAAGGAATTGTTTGGTTTGATCCCCGCCGCATCTTTTCGCCATCGTTAAACGCGAAAACTTTTTCATCCCCATCACATAGAGGGTTGGCAGTCAACTGTGCGATTCACCCGTAACTTTCTGCCCCGCATAGCAAAACTTAGGAATGATCTTCCGGCGGCGGTATTCCCGAACCGAGACGACCTTCAAACCTTCAAGAAACGAGCGTACTCTTTCTTAAAATGCCGCACCTGTGACCTTAAGAGACCGGTTCGGTCAAATGAAGACTCGGTTTGGGAAGAAAACGATGCACAGAATTAAGAGATGACCGCTTTTTGGTGAGTAAGTGTGGACCTGAAGACGAGCCTTGAAGAAGTAAGGAGAGTAGAAGTTAGCTTGTGTACGGTCAGGACGACAGCTTTTGGCTGCCAATATCTTTAGTGACCGCCCAGCTTGGGGCCCTAAATTACTCCATGAGCACCGTGTTGCTTGACTTCAGTTTGCTGCGAACTGTGATTCCTGGACTCTAGAAGACTGGAATAAAGTATTGTTTTCTGATGAAGCTAGAATCTCTTTGTGTGAGAGGACCGACGCCGGTGAGTGCTGTGAAGGGAACGTTATGCGAAAGTTTGTTTCGAAGAAATCACTCCTTATGGCGAAAGCTCCGTTATGTTTTGGGCAGCAATTAAGGCGACGGAGCGTACAGAGTTAAGTTTCGTGGAAATGCACACCGGGACATACATGCAACAAGTAAGGATCCGTGGTTTAGATTGGTCACCTCAATGTTCTGACGTCAATCCAATTGAGCATGTCTGGGATGTTCTAAAGAGACCGGTAAGATCAGTGCAACGTGCTCCACAAAATAACAAGGAGCTAAAAAGAGTCATTGCAGAAAAGTGGGAATATATTCCTCAAAACGTTATTAAAAACATCGTGGTAAGCATGCCCAGAAGGTGATTTTGGCAAGAGGAGGTCACACTCGTTATTAGATTTTTACATTTGTAACTTTATTTAATTGAAAACAGTAAAAACATTCTTGTCTTTATTGCCGACCACTTCTTATTATTTTGGTGAAAACACACCAAAATAATAAGAAGTGGTCGGTTTTCTTTTTATTGCCCGGATTCACTTCACGCGCATTAACTTACACGATTATAAGTATAGAGACTACGTCTAAGAAATTAATTTCATTTAATTAACTCATATCGACCTTAGAACGTAAATTTCCTTAAGTGTTCGTTTTTTTGCAAAAGAGTGTGTACTAAGATTTTCTTTTTATTGCCCGGATTCACTTCACGCGCATTAACTTACACGATTATAAGTATAGAGACTACGTCTAAGAAATTAATTTCATTTAATTAACTCATATCGACCTTAGAACGTAAATTTCCTTAAGTGTTCGTTTTTTTGCAAAAGAGTGTGTACTAAGATTTTTGTATGAAAAAATATCTCCTTTTGTGAATTTCGTATATTCCTTTTGTAGGTGTTGTTCACATGAATCGTTTATCGTAATATGACAAGATGTTTATGCTAGTCGATTCAACAATAGCAAATGATTTATAGCAACTCCTTTCATTTTCGAATGTAACGTCTTTGTGTGACGTTTGAAGGGATCTAGTTTGGCGCCCTCTGCATAAGTGTGCAATATCTAGATGGCGTTACTGGGCATGCTTTTTGAAATTTAAACTTGCTAACCCATCCACCTTCTAATCACACCGGTTATCGAAATTGTCATCAATATAAACAAAATACATTTGTTATTATAATATAAGTGGTTATTCTAATAATACATATTATTGCTAATTACTAACGAATTAGCTAAAACGTAAAGTTTAGATAGAACTAGATACATACCAAGTGAATCTCTTAATCTAGTATAGGAGTTAATCCAGTGTGATCTTAGATAGAAAATAAAAACAATAATATTAGGTGAAGCGAAAGATTTGGCATAATAAGATGTAGGTAGCAGTTTGAATATTTTGTATTTGAAGTTGTTTTAGTTAGGTTTTGGAGTGTTGAAAAATGTTGATATGTTGTCATTTAAATTCATTTTTTCTAAGCTGCTAATGTGGGATTTTTCGGTAAAATTCTTAGTAAAACACGGTCTCTCGAATTTCTAAAGGGTTTTGTTGTATATACTTGAAAGTAGCACATACGTGAATCGAATATAAGAAACGAATGCCATCTGAACAAATGTTCCAGTAATCTAGCCGTGTCATATGATTACGTTTAATACTTTTTGTTAAGGTTTTATAAATATGGCTAACTTTTATTAGCTTAAACATTAACCAAATAATAGCCTATAAGCAAGTAATGCAGATGTCACATATTTTACTATTTCTCTATCAAATATGCACATTTGTTCTTTCATCTAAGAATCTTTAAAAATCAGACTTCTTGAAATACCATTTTAAATCTTAATAGTTGGACATTTAGGATGAATTTAGATAGAAAACGAATATTAGG